AAGAGAAGGGGAAAGGGAAGAAAATTTCCAAAAAAGGAAGTTTTCTGACGAAGTAGGGGTAAGTGGGAAAGAGTTTTGAAATGATTTTATTATTTTACAAATGTAATATAGTTTGTTATTAAGTATTTTTTTTATAAGATAATATTATAAAAATAAGTTTGTAACAAAAATAAAATGATTAAATAATTTTAAGTACCTATATATATTATTTGAAATATGTTGTTTATATATTTAAAATTTTACATGAATTGTTTTTATTTTGAAAAAGTTATATATATTTATATTATATAAATAATATTTCAAAATTTTTTACATTATACTATATATTGCTATGTCACAAAAATTTTTATTAAAAAACTATAATCAGTTTATTTTTATCAATTGATTAATACTCCAAATTTAATTAATTAAACACTATTAATTTTTTAAACAAATTTGTATAATCAAAACAATATATATTAATTGATATAAATAAAAATTTTTTGACAATAACAACTAAAACAAAACTATATTACCAACAAACAACTTAATTATAAATCATATTATTATTATAACAATATTATTAAAAAAATACATTATCAATATTATTGTATATTTTGAATTGTAGTTTAATTATTTTTGAAAATACAATTAGTTAAATAGAACTATTAGTATAACATGCCTAATTATTTTATTCAAAGTATCTTCAGTTTTATAATTAGTTTTTTTGTATTTATTTTTTTATTTAATATTTTATTTCTTATGGTTTTTTTATATATAAATTTGAGTAGATATTTATAGCTGCTTGATATAATCTTTGATATATATTGGTTTTAATATTTATTTTTTAATTGGTTAAATAGTTTCTATAGGCAAGCTAGTATTAGACTTACTAATTATTTGATTATATAAGAAATATTATCACATTTTATATACAAAATATTTTAAAATTAATAAAAGTATAATATAAAATAATCATTGAAACAAAAAAAATAGAATTAATTATTAATATTTTATATATAACAGAATTTTTAAATTTTTAACTTTTAAATAAAAATTTTTAAAATTTCAATTATTAATTAATAATTAGATTATATTTAAAAATATTTAAAAAATTATAATTACTATTTTATAAATAACAAAAGCAATTATATATAGAATGACAAATGTATTTTTAATTATTCTAAATTTTAAAAAACATTAATCAAATTATTTTCAAAGTTTAAGATATAATAAATTATTATTATTTAAAAAAAATTTATTAAAGTTTGATAAATAAGTATATATCAATATTTAATAACTTATTTAAAAAATTAAAATCAATAATAAAGTTATTTTAATTAAGAATAATATGATAAAAAAATTTTTAAAGAAACAATTAATAATAGTTTATTTGCTAATTTTAAAATTATGATTATATGAAATCTCAATATAAAATTTTATAAAATAATAAATTCTTATATAATATATACAAGATGTTTACAAAAAAATAACAATTGTATTTTTATTTATAATTTATTAAAATCAAATAAAAATTTTAAAATATAATTGAATTAATATCTATAAAATAAAATTTATTTGAAATTATTTTATTAATCATTTTAATTTAATATTTTGATTTTTATAAAAAATTTTTTTAATTTACATCTGTTTAAAGCAAAGTAATATTTATATATGTTACATATATTTGCCTTTTAGATAAAAGGGTTTAAAAAAAGTAAAATAAAAAAATTGTCATTTTTTGTATAGGTAGCAAGTTAAAATATTTGTGTTGTTCCTCCTCTCTTTATTGTGTCCACTCGACTTGCAACCCAAAGTCAATCAGGTACACATCACCGTTATCGTTACCGAATATCATGTGGAAGATGCCATGCTTATGAATTGTTTCTAATCCCTTAATATCCCTTGACTTTTGCCGTTTCCTATTTTATGCTTGCTCAACATAGTACCGACAATGGTCATGTCAATATCAAAACTCATGTCTCCTCCATAATATCCATAACATACCAACATTGGAATATGCCTGCCTTGAATATCAACGATGTCTTTATAAAATTCGACTTCTGCTTGCATTTCTTTCAGGATTAACGGTGGAGTTCTCAACAAGTTTGTACTCTTCAAAGTAATCATATCGCTACGAAATTCACATAGGGCGTTTTATCGCTTCGTCCTTCACCTAGTATGCTCTTAAACTTAAAGTTCGCAAAGCTAAAATTTTACTGATCTACAGAGATGATTTTTAAGTGTGATTTAAGAATACGTGCTGGTGCCTGAAGTGGATGAAGGGATTCAGGATTCTCTTTTGCTTGTCGAGCTAGATTAGCATATGCCGGTGGAGATTTTGATTGCAACGAAAGAGTTTTCGAAATTCAGAGCTCCGTATGCTCTCGGCGTAGAAACCAGTGATTATCGTAAGTGGACATCTAAGTTCATTTACTCTCATATAATTGTAAATTTGTTGGATCGCCATTTTTACCTTTCATTTGACCGGTAATACTCAGATAATGTCTGTTCACCGATATCTTCTAAATCATGCATTATTTTTGCCTCAATCACCAAGATCAACGATGAAAAATGAAATCCGTAATACCTGGCGTATAAGTAGATAGCCTCGAATACATATAATCTGATCCAGAAACTTTTCTAATACCATACAAATATTAATGGTGATAGCAGAATTAGCATTTGACTTATTAAACACGGTTATATATTCGAAAAACTGTGGTTTTTGACCTTGGCTTTTGGTCGAAGCAGAGTTCATTCACTTTATCAAAAAAGTCATCCCAAAGTATTACTCTTGTCAGTGGGTCACCATTGACTTTTTATTGTGTTTTTTTATGTATTGCATCTCGAGTGATATGTTACAGGTGGTGGAATACACGACAGTACTTCTTCCTAGCTGAAAACTGGAAGCGAATACGTGTTAATGTCACGAAGAAAATGACGAAAAATTACATACTATACCAGACAGACACTTACGTGGCAACTTTGCGATAGCGTGGATATGACTTTTAGGTGGTTCTCGGTCAAGTATTCTCCTATGTCATACATTGCAAGGAGTTCTTGGAGTGAGATTGATCATCGCGATCGTTGGGGATATTACTTTCCATAGCTTAATATCCCTGGCATTAATTTCAGCAAAAGTTCGCGATTTCTTCACCTTAATAATAGTTTTGAGGAGGTAAACCAAATCATCACTATCAATATCAACAACGAAAGCATCTGCGATCCTATCTCCGTTGACAAGACAGATAGACATCACGACTTATATAGTATTTTTTGCAAAACGTTATACGGACGTGATAAAAATGCCGTGTTTGATCGATTTATTTTGTAGCACAAACGCGGTGAAATACTGTAAGTCGCAGTAATAAATATACAGGAGCACGAAATTCTCCTTCATATTGCATGATTGCGTCAAGGGTACTATAAACCGCGGCTTACGCAATCAATTGTCGCAAAACCAGAGGTTTGTTAGCGACTAATCCAAAGCAGTATTTTCAACTGCAGTGTCAGTACACGCAGGTATACAGTCCCAATCCTTCCAATTGTAAATAATCCAATCCTCATAGTCTACGATAAATTTTTTATATCCTCTTTCTCAGCGTCCATCTCCTTCCTCATCAAACATTTTGTTAATAGGTCGATTCTACTTTTAATAAATAAATTTGCGCAACATACATTAGAGCTGATTATCTTTTCTTAGCGCACTGATTTCTCCGGAAAGTACCAGATGTTACACCATTTTCTAGTCTGAATATTATATATATCATGTTTTTCCCGCTCACCAGATGAGCAATATAGTCAAAAAAGATTAAGGGATTATAATTGCTATTCTAGTCTGGAATTATTCTGCCTGAGGTTGGGACATTGGGCTCGACTCCAATCTTCTGTGTCGGTATCGCCCATATCCCGCATCAAATAATCTATTTATACCTCTGCGAGAAGATCAAGACGTTGAGGAGTTGAATTAAGACCACCGTGAATCCTGGAAGTGCGCTTGTCTCACTTTTTTCTTTACGTTTTCCGGGAGTTCAAAGTTTTCTTTGTTTCTCTCTTTTGCCTTCGATATCCAATACAATATCCAATACAATACCGGATTCGTACCAATCTGGAAGGTTTGGATGGTCAGGTTCCGTAACGAATAATCTGAAGAGTACCAATTTCAGCTGGTCTCATACTTAGCATCATGATCACATCTGCAAGATCATGTTTATTAGAAACTTGATTAAGTTCAGGATCTTTGACATACTGTAAGTTAAATACATGCGTTCAGTCAACCGGAATTGTGATTGACAAGAGGCTCCAGCTACAATTTCTCTTTCATCATTATTCTTTGGACCTAATTCAATGCAATGAAGAAAAATGTCTCACTTATTACCAGTTTTGGCATGATATTGAGTTCTTTTCTCAAAGGTATGCTTTTCGAGAGTCTCTACTAATGAACGCCTGGCAAGGACACCTTTAATGCATTTCTACGGACCTTCCAATCCGGAAGGAAACGCCAAGCTCGCTTCTGGGTCCTTCGAGCAGTTACTTTGGTATTCACGTGAAAAATCTTGAGGAAAGTTTTATGTATGTGTATGCTAGGAAACGATCACGCTACCGATAGATAATCTTGTCGGCACTTAAAATATTTTTATATTCAATAATTTGACTTGACAATTATGGAATTAAAATATTTTGTTAGTTTAATCACGACATATTATTTCATAGCAAAGATGTATTAGTGTAAATTATAAATAGATTTATAGATTCTGATGCGCATATGTAAAACTCCAAAAAATACGATTGCTAAATTTATTATGCCCCATCGTCGCCCACTGATCACGGTGATTTACACAAGATTTGAATCTTCAAATGTTTGTGAATTGTTTTTTTTTTCAAACTTATCATCTTAATACTGTGATACGAAATGCAATCCCGTTCCGGCGTAATTTTTTGGTAACGTTTATTTTTGTGTTGATTCAAAATCGAAAAATTCGTTTTAACTATAATTAACCTTTCATATTCTCCCCTTGCGTTTAGCTTTTTTCTAAAGCATATCACCAAACCATTTTTTCTCATCTATGGACTTTATCTTGGGACCTTTTTGCTATATATGCTGTAGTGGTTATTTCATGTAAATGAACGGGTGACATTTGACTGTTACACCGCATATATACGGACGTAGGAGAAAAAAACGTGTTCTGAGACTATGGGAGGTGTCACAGATCTTCAATGTGTTCGGTCGGTGTATACTACTAATAAAGAATTTTTGGATGATGATTATTATTATAAATCTTGTGGTGATCCGTCATTTGTCGCTATAATTAGGATTTGTTATATTAAGTGAGTAGAGATGCTTTACTTTAATCGGGCGGAATTATTAGTAATGCATGTTTTTTTGATGCGTGTCTGATTGTTTGTATCGAAATAAAAAAATTGCGTAAAGCTAAACTATCTATATTACGTATCCTAATTTAAACATCTGAACTATATTAAGTACCTACGTTAAAAGTTGTGCAGCGGTATATATACAATAATTAACACTTTACATGTGTCATAGGGCGGAAGTTTTTTTATAGAACAGAATGTCATAAATTTAGCGCCGCTTTTTAAATACGTATGCAATTATTGAGTAATTCTTGCTCTTTGTTATTGGGCAAAATATGGAATCAATTTTCGGGATTGGCAAATGTACATCTCACAATTCATTCATTGTGTAATCATCGAAAAGATAATAAATAGTGTGTCATAGAGGTCGATTCTCTTTTTTTTCAAACACGTAGCCTCTTAGCCTAATAATTTATTGATCTACATAAAATAATAACTATAAATTTTAATTCTTACCGGCGCTAAAGCACATACGGTTTCCGGTTACGCCAAAATTATAAAAAAAAATTCTGAAACAAAATACCTAATAAAAGTAATATTTTTTTTAATAATACATGATATAAATAGAAGTCATAGACATCAAAAAGTAACAATTGATTCCCTTATTTATACACATTCAAAAAAAAAAAAAGGTTTTTTTTCTTAGCCTTTCTCTTTTTCTGAAATTTCGTGAAAAAACCGTTAGACAAAGATATTTGATACATGTTAGC